GGTGCTTGGGCAGGGGCTGGGTTCCCCCAGCGAGCGTCGGCCGCTCGTGCGCACCGGGCACACCCGGCACGGCAGCGCAGCTCCTCTGCCACTTGCAAGACAAAAGGCATCCTGGTCCCTGCACGCAGGATGTGAGCGGCGCATTCCCCTCGTCATCCTCGTCCCCTTCCTGTGTTCCAGGCCTTGGTTCAGGAATTTATTACGCAGGGCAAAATTCCTGTTGAATCTAACGCCAAAGTTTTCCAGGTCCAAAGGAAGCACCTCCCTGCTGCTGCCCTCCTCCCTTCCTCCCGGTTTCAGTAACGCAGCCCAGCAGCCGGAGCAGCCCGGGCTCCTCAGCCGTCCCGCACACAGGCTGCCTGCCCCAGGTGAGCCGCTGCGGCTCAGGAGAGGACGGGTGGGAAGGGTCCTGTGAGCCCCAGAGAGCCGCAGACGGCCTCTTCGTGCCAGCTGCCTTTTTTCTTTAATCCCTATTTAAATTTTTCGAGTAGAAAAAGGCCAGGCCAGGCAAGAGAAATTAAATAGGAGTTTTTGCTGACTGCATCTGGGCCTGGCTGTACAATCCTGTCCGTGGCCACAACAATTAGGAGTGCTGGAGCATCCAGCTTCTCTCCATCCTCACCTACTACAGGGGCTGGAAGATCCTCATGGAGCACAGATGCCTCCGGGACACTCCGGGCAGAGGCTCAGGGTGGGAAGCAGCAGCAAAACCGTTCCCTTCTCCTGGCTTCCCCTCCTGGAGCTGCCTGTGGAGCTGCTCCTGGACAGGGCTGCCTGTTGCTGGCCTCCAAGTCCAGGTGATGGAGCACTGAGGGACTCAATCTTCTTTGAATCTTCTTTGTATCTTTCTTGAATCTTCCAGGACACCAAAAATGCCTGAGAAAGGGAAGATCCTTCCTCTGCCACCTGGTCCCTGTCCCTGTGGGGGGTTTGCTGGGCATCAGCCAGGGCATCCCGCTCCTCTCCCTGCCCTCCTGCCGCAGCCAGCTCCCACGGGCAGAGGGGAGCGATGGCGGGGGCCGAGTCCCAGTGGATGTTTCCCAGGGGGTTGGAGGGTGGGAGTTTGTACCCCAGCAAGCTGAGGATCAGGCAGGGACAAGCACAGAAGGGAACACCCAAACGCTAACTGGGACTGCAGGGTCCTGCCGGGGGTTCTGAGCACACAGGAGCAACCTGTGCCTGACAGGCAGCGCGGTGCTGGGTCACGCTGCAGGGCTTGCACTGGACCGCCCTCGGCTTTTCACGGCGCAAACAGCGTTACCTGGAGCCCTAGCGTGTTTTTTACAAGGTCCTGGGCCTTCTTGGGCTCCCGTGCTGCCCTGGCATAGAAACACACAGGAAAAAGTGGAAATAGCAGCTTTGTAGCCCAGCAGCCACACTTTATAGCCCAGCAGCCACGCTTGCTGTCAGCTGCTCCCGGGTGTTTGGGCGGGGGGGGCCCTAACGTGCGGTGCGAGGGGCAGCAGGGGCGGTGGGACACGGGGGAGGAGGAGGCAGCACCTCTGCTCCTGCAGACGCCGAGGCCGCACGCTGCCTGTCGCGCTTTGACTTTTTCACTGCTCAGAGCCCTCCCTCGGCGGCTCCGTAACCCCCATCCGGCTGCGCTGGAAGTGTTTTCCCAGGACCCTTGCAGCAGCCTTTCCCTCACAGTTCCGTGCTGTAGCAGGGGCGGTGGGACACGGGGGAGGAGGAGGCAGCACCTCTGCTCCTGCAGACGCCGAGGCCGCACGCTGCCTGTCGCGCTTTGACTTTTTCACTGCTCAGAGCCCTCCCTCGGCGGCTCCGTAACCCCCATCCGGCTGCGCTGGAAGTGTTTTCCCAGGACCCTTGCAGCAGCCTTTCCCTCACAGTTCCGTGCTGTGTTTCTTTCTTACCCCCCTGTCCCGGCACCCCCAAGGGCTCCGTTGCGGGGGGTTCCCACGGGAAGGTGTTGCCGAAGAGCTGCTCCTTGCTCCC